TCACATCAGAAATATACCATTGCAAACAAGATGATGGAGTTTTTTTTTTAAATAAATATAAATTGCGAAATATCTGGTGATTTTTTTAAAGAAATAAAGACAACATGTAGGTTAAATACTATACTTACGAGTATAACCTTATTTTAATTTATTTCTGAAATCAATGTCATAGAAAACTACTTTCCCGTCATTTAAAAAAATACTTTCGAAAATTTAAAAAAAATTAACAAGTGTTAGAGCGAAGTGCTAGAGCTTGAGCATTGTTTAAAACAATGGTTAAGCTTTTATTTCTTTTTAATACCTATTTATTTATTAATAGAGCACAATTTAGAATTGTTTATACGTGTTATTTTTAACTCTGTTACTAGTTCACACCGTACAATTGCCAGATGAAACAAACTAAACCTCTTTTTTTTTAATAAAAAAGGTGCAAACTGCACCTTTTTTGCTTCTTCTGAAATTATAAGTCACAGACTCACAATCGGAAAATAATGCCGGTCAAGCTAGTAAATAATTGATGCATTTTATCATAATATACAATTTTCAGTGAGATATAGATCTGATTATACAATTTCTCAGTCCGAAGAAAATTAGTTTTCTGCTTCTGAAAGTGGGTCATTCAAGTACTGCATGCACTGTTATGGCAACGAAATGCTTTTGCTTTACAACTGTTCTATATAATGGTTGTTCTTTAAAATTCAACTCTTTGTACATCTCGGTTTCAACATTAGTCACTATATTTAATGGTATAATAATAATATAAATATATAACTATCGTATCTCTACATAGTGTGAAAATAATACGCTTCCAGTTGTCTGTACACTTAGATCTTTTAAACTACGCAACGGATTTTGATGTAATTTTCATCAACAGAAGTTTTGTATTTTGTATAATTATAAGGTACGTGAGGGTAATATGGCCACCTTAAGCTTTGCCGCCCTATAAAACTAAATCCCACAAAGTCATATACTATAATTAATATATTAAGAAAGAATAGCTAACAAGCTTTGGCAATATTAGGAACATTTCGAAAAATCGAAAACTAAAGAACTAACTACACTACATCATACTGAAATCGACTGAAATAGTTACTATAATGTCAACTGTTAAAATGGCGTCGCTAAAGCATCGGCCTTTTGATCCTGTATTATTTGATTGACTGATGAAGAGTATCACAAAGCTATTTATGCAAAAAAGGCCATAGTTTTTGAGTTATAAGAAAGTGATTTCTTATATTTACGCGAACACTATACATTGATTCAAACTACTTTTACGGATTTTATCGCGTTTATTTATGTTATTTTTAATACCCGACGTTTTGGGTGCTTTCCAGCACCCATGGTCACGGGAGACTGAAGTCACTGACGTCCCGATGTCAAAGTAACTCCGGGTTAACTTTGACTGAACGTTGACTTTGACACACACGGGTTTCGGGTGCTTTCCCCGTTACCGTGGGTGCTGTAAAGCACCCAAAACGTCCGGAATTAAATAGTTAAATTAAACGCGATAAAATCCGTAAAACATTAGATAATTTATTTTATAATAAGATTCAAGTTTTACTACTAATATTTATTATGGTTTTACGAACGTAGCTTAAAAGAAAGTTAACAGTGAGAAGTTTATAGATAGTAAAGACATTTCCTCTCCGGAAACAACTGTGAAATTTCCCTCCGTACTCACAACTCAAACGTAACACAAAGTTAATTGAGGAAATGAAGGTGAAAATCTCTATAGGGATAGATCCCCTCCGGGTGTATTAATATAATAGCTGTTGATCATCCGCTGCGTTAGTCATAAATTAAACTTGAGTTATAATCGTAATAAAGACCCGTTGTAGCCCAGGGATTAGTTAATTTGCATGTCTGAGAAATGAGAGAAAAATATTAAGGACGTATATAGACTGTAATTTTAACTTTAATTTTTGTAATTGTAGTAAAAATATCCTAAGACCTATTTCACGACATAATTGACTTCTATGCTAAACTTCACTAGAATCTATCCAGCCGCTTAAACATGAATCAAGGACATACGTTCAAACAAACATAATATATTTCATATCTGTATTATTATACGAAGGATAAAATATGAGAGGTATGATGTGATTCAAGATTTTTTTAATAATACCCACAAAAAGCGATAGCAGTCGCCGTTATTTTCTCAATCTGTCAATTCTACTGTTGGTTCGTAAAAACCTAAAACCCTGGGGAGAACATTTTAGAATTATATTTTAGAATTATATTTTTGTACTTTGCAAAGTTAAATACGTCAATTGATAGCTCTATGGCACAGTGGCTTAGCAACGACTTACAGCACTTGGGTCACGGGTTCAAATCTCGCACGGAACATATTTGTATATGGGTCTGGATGTTTGTCCTTGTGCAATTTGTGTTTCTGAACTGCCACCACGATACGGGAGAAAATCCCAGTGTGGGGCTAACATATTTACAAAAAAAAAAACATTTTGGAAATAGCTTGGCAGCGCCTCATTCCTCGTTCCTCACTTCATTCCTGTGTAGTTTGTAACATGTGGGCTATTAGAAATGATTATTCTTTAATTCTTAAGGTCTTAGCTAGTGAAACGTCAGTTTCTATACAAGACTCAAAAAAATTACAATGTTTATAAACTTTTAATTATCAGTAGATAATTATTGAAATTATTATAATATAGATATAGTTTCTTAGTTGAAGTTCTATTATAAAGTCGGGAAAACAACGAAGAAAACGTCCTAATTCTATCAATTAATCGATTTATTATTAGATGAATATGGGAAGTAACAGAAAAGTTTTTCGATAGACTGTAGTAAAAGAATCTGATTACGTCAGCCGTGAAATACAGGCGGATAGGATGATTCAAAAAACTATATTCTCCCTCTTAGTTATCTAACAAAATCACATATAGGCCTCTTCTTTCATAGTATAGATAGAAATTTGTGATAGGTTGCTAATAGGATTTATACTTGGTGAAGCCAAGCTGCAGCTATATTAGTAGTGTAGTTGTAGCACGAATGGGTCGGCTCGACCGGGGAAGGACCACGCTCTGACATAATACCAGCGTAAAATAGCAGCTTAATGCTGTTGTGTTTCATATGGTGAGTGTAGAGAACCGGAGACTCTTCTTGCAGGGTAGGAGGCATTCCATAGATGTAGTTGTCTATGGGCTACAGCAACCACTTACCATCAGGTGGACTGTGTGCCCGTTTGTCACTCTCATTTTATTTAAAAAAATGATGATAGACGAGTCCATTGTGTACACGATTTACCACCTCACTTTACACGTAGGATCTGTTATCCCCCTAGAACTGGCCTATAATAGATAAAAAAAATAATCATAACAAAAATAGAATCACGTAGTAGCGGTGTATCCACTATCTCATATCCCGTGTGTGTCGTGTTTTGTGAGAAACAAATCAGGAGATCAGCGGCAATGTCTTCCTAATAATGACTACCAATAAAACACTGCGGTTACGAACCCGCTTGCCAAGCGTGGCTACTGTGGAAAATGTCCCTAAGAGGCAATCTACGGGGTAGGCTTACGTTTAATACCGGACTTGAGGCTGTAGCGACAATGGTTTAACAACATAATAATAATAAAAAATAAAACAATATGTTCAATGATGGTATAAAAATATTTATTGATCGTTTAGGAATTGTGTTATAAGTCAACTTAACTTTATTAGAATATTTTTGTTGGACATTTATTTTAAATATGATTAAACATAGATACACATCTATGATACACATGTCCTAAAGAAACAATAGATTTTTAATGTGAATCGAATTAAAAGAAAAAGTGACAATCAACAATAAAACTTAACAACACAAAAACAATAAAATATTAATTAAAAAAATTATTAAAAAATATTATAATATTCAACAAAACTACTTTTACGGGTTTTGTCGCATTTAATTCTACTTATTTTTAATTCCCGACGGTCGCGATGGGACAGAGGGAATGGACGTCCCGATGTCAAACACCGGAACGACCAAAGACTATTGAAATGAAAAAACATCCTAATTTCAATAGGGAAGGAGACTGGGTGCTACAATATGTTAAGGATCCTGTAATTAAAATTAAAACTAAGCCCAGGAATACCACTCCAAGACTTCAAGACAAAAGTACAAAGCACTCGAAACGTCGTGAATTAAAAATAAGTAGAATTAAACGCGATAAAATGCTTAAAAGTAATTTTAGTTAATTAATGAATAAATCGTTTCCTTAAAATATAGTTTTTAAATAACTTTAAAGAATCATTAAAAAGATATCAGATGGAAATTAACGGACTTCAGTCTATTAATTGTTAATGGTTCCAGAAGGTTTAATTGCTATAGAATAAAAACTTTTATAGTCTTGACCTACATCCCTGATCTCGTTTTCTTAGGAGAACTTTTTAAAAGTAACATTGTTACTTAAAGTTCTGTACTGCTGTAACGATAACGGTAACTAGGCACTCGTAATAAGGTTGAGTCAAAACACGTGCATCTTATCGCAGGCATCGTGATATCGTAAGGCCGCGGGGATCTAAGTAATATTTTACACGTGGTAGAGCCATGCATTAGTAGTATATTTATAGCACGAATGGGTCGGCTCGACCGAGGAAGGGCCACGCTCTCACAAAATACCAGATACGTCAAATAGTACCTTAATGCTGCTGTGTTTCGTATGGTAAGTGTAGAGAAACGGAGACCCTTTTTACTGGAAACGAAGCATTCTACCTAAGTTCTCACGGATGATAACGTATCTACATTTTGATTCGTAATCGAGGATAGATGTAGATGTCTATGGGCCACAGCAACCACTTACCATCAGGTGGACTGTGTGCTCGTTTGTCATCCTATCCTATATAAAAAAGTAATACATATAATATATAAGTACTAGTACTAGTTATTCGTAAGGTTTTTCTCTCGTGAGGTAAAACATGTGTATTTTGTGCGCAGGCATCGAGATGTCGCGAGGGCGCGGGGCCGATGGGGCCGGCTGAGCGCGCTCGGCTAGGCGCCCATGCGCGCCTGGCTCGTGCTGTGTGCGGCGCTCGCGCTCGCGCCGAGCCGGCCGCGCGCCGCCGCCACCGCCGTCGCCGAGCCCGCCGCGCCCGCCGCGCCCGCAGCGGAGCCCGCCCGCCTCGAGCACATCAAGACACAGATACTTGCAAAGGTAAATCAACGCTGCAGCCATGAACGTCCGCCTCGAGCAAATCAAGATACTACGGCGCGACGACAGCGCGCCACATTACGTCATATCACGCCATATCACGTCGGGGTCATCACTGTGGCCGTGGAAGGAAAAGGGAAGATCTCCTGGGCAAGGTGTTCTACCCGGGGAGCGGACAACACTCCATGTGTTAGTTCCGAGATGTTCTATATATACTGTTTATGATTCGGAATTTTGATAGCATGATTTAGGCTTCAGTGTGTTTCGCTTACGGCGTCGCCACAACACAAATACTTGCAAAATTAAATCAACGCTGCAGCCATGCACGCCCGCCTTGAACACATCGAGATATAAATACTTGCAAGAGATATCAACGCTGCAGCCGTGCATGCTCGCACATCAAGACACAGATAGAGTAGCTGACGCAATGAATGTCACGCCACATATTGGATTCAAATTTTATGATTTTTTTTTGTTTTTAAACATATAAAAGGAATATGAGTAATTTCAGTTCATAAATATGGAATTAATTAAAATACAGGTAAAAATAACTAGTCTGAGAAAGTTTGTTTTACTCTTTCCGTTAGGCAATACTCATTATCATCCATGCATAAGTGTATAAAAGTCCACTGCTAAATATTGGCCTCTTTCGTAGATCGCCTTATAGGGGTGGTTTTGCTATGGTTGTCACGTTTGGCATCCACAGTTTTTATCATTTTGATTTTCAATTAAAGTAAAGTTACAGCCTATATACGTCCTACTTCTGAGGGGGTTTTAGGGTAAGGAAGTGTCCGCCGCGCTGCCCCAATGCCTGTTAGCGAACTTCACATTACTTCGAAATCAATCAGAAACTTTTTTATACATATAAATTATAAATAATACTTATTGAAAGTCACTTTTTGTTTTAATTTACCACTGGTTCGGAAAAAAACCTCTGTCCTGGGAAGAACCAGCAAGAAACCCAGCAGGACTATTTTTTTTTAAATAACAGCTTACAATCATGTATGTTACAATTAACAACACAAAATAAATTAGAAATAGCTTGGTAGCGATCACCCTTCCCTGGGGTTATTATCATCTATCATCATCATTACAGCCCTTTACAAGTCCACTACTGAACATAGGCCTTCCCCAAGTAATTCCACAAAGCACGGTCCTAAGCCACCTGCATCCATCGACTTCCTGCATGTGTCTTACCAGGTCGTCACTCCATCTAGTGGGCGATCGCCCTACACTACTCCTACCGGTACGAGGCTGCCACTCGAGAACCTTTCTTCCCCATCGGTTATCGGTTCTTCGAGCTATATGGCAGGCCCATTGCCACTTCAGCTTACTAATCCGTTGGGCTATGTCGGTCACTCTGGTTTTACTGGGGATATCCTGATTTCTGAGTCTATCACACAGAGAAACTCCAAGCATAGCCCTCTCCGTTGCTTGCTGAGGGACCTTGAGCGTCCTCATACGGCCAGCAGTGAAGGACCACGTCGCAGATCCGTAAGTCATCACTGGCAACACGCACTGGTTGTACAATCTAGTTTTCAGAGTTTGAGGTATACCTGACGAGAAGATGTGTCGTAATTTCCCGAACATGACCTTTGTTTTGTCAATTGTTCATCTTAAGACCTATCCGTTGGGAGACACCATTGAGGTCATTGAGCATAGTGCTTAGGTCCTCCAGCGATTCTGCCGTAAGGACTATATCGTCGTGAGTGATGTACTCGCCATTGATGTTAATACCGTATCTTTTCCATTCCAGTAGCTTGTAAACGTCTTCCAATGCAGCGGTGAAGAATTTCGGGGATATAATGTCACCCTGTCTTATACCTCTCTGTAATTGGATGGGTTTCGAACTCTGGTTCTGTACTCGGATAGCCATCGTAGCCCTACTGTACAAATACTTCAGCACTTCGATATATCGACAGTCAACTTGGCACCGCTGAAGGGACTGTAGCACCGCCCAAATTTCGACGGAATCAAAGGCTTTCTCATAGGCCACATACGCCAGGAAAAGTGGCATTATCATCCATAAATTATTTAATATCATAGTAAGCCTTTTTATACAAACTTAGTTTAATAAAGTTTTTGAACTTTGTGCAGGCAACATTTTTCTTTGTTATTCCTCAGAAAAGCAGGTTTCGTGGTACATCACGTACGTGAAAAACGAACGTGGTAAATCAGCACTTAAAATTGCAATTAACAAATTCATTGGAGCCGACAGGGATCGAACCCGGGTTCCTCGCGTACTTTGAAATTTTACTACGGCTCACTCATTTCGTTTTGTGAACCCTATAATTTTCTACCTAACCCCAAAATTTTCATTGCCTGTAAAAGGTCGCTAAGTTGTACGTACTCAGTGATATTGAGATCACTAGGTGATAGGACTTCTTTTTTTATTAGCATCAGTCTGTAACAGTCCACTGCCACTTTCCACGTTGGAACTTATTGTAGGACAAGAATGAAATCAGAAATCTTTATCTACATAATCGCACATTTTACCCTGCTTCTTGTCAAGTGTGTATTTTAAGTTTAGTTTAAACGAGATGGTATACCGCCATCTATAAGAAGCCATTAGAACGTTCTGGTACTACGATCCACAGAACCTACTCGGAATAAACATGGAACAATGATGGTTTAAAATCTTACGCACATTAGATAGTAGTAATTAACGTAAACTTATTTATAACCTACACTTTTGTAGCAAATTAACTTTCCCTCATGGAGTGTCGAGGTAAGGAGAACCGTTTCTATATATTGAAAAGTGTCAGTAGGAAAGAGTTAAAAAGAGTGGCACCACTGTATCTAGAGGGTAAATTTTAAAGAACTTTTATAACTTTTTATTGCACACATTTTCACCGTAATTCTTTTTTATAATAATTATTTGATTGTTTTCAAAATTTTTATTTTTTAAAAATCACTCGCAACGTGTTTCACGGCTCTAGGTTATTTTTACTAAATTATTTTAGACCACGTGATATGTTGAGATTTTAAATACTGCAGTTTCATCAACTTCTCTAGTCACCACAATATATATATATATATATATATATATATATATATATATATATATATATATATATATATATATATCCATTTTCAAAATATCGCCAATTTGGTCGATAAACTTTTTTCTAGGGCGTCCCTTCCTGACTCGGCCGTTCATATCTGCCATATAAATTTGCTTTGTCACTCTTTCCTCATTCATTCTTTCTACATGACCAAACCACCGAAGCATTCCTTTTGTGGGCGAAGTAGGAAAAGGGGAGATCTCCCGCCGGGCAAGGTGTTTTGCCCGGGGAGCGGCCAACACTCCGTGTGATAGTTCGGAGAAGTTCTATATACACTGTCTATGATTCGGAATGTTAATAGCGCGATTTAGGCTTCGGTGTGTTTCGGTGTGCTAGTGGCGCGACGACAGCGCCGCTACACTTTCTTAATCCTGGTCACAACATCATCTTGCATACCACATTTATCTCTTATCACGCAATTTCTCAACCTGTCATTCAAATTCAACCCTAGTATATTCCTTAAAGACCGCATTTCTACAGCATTTATTCTACTTTCGTGCTTCTTCTGCCACACCCAGCTTTCACTACCATACATTAAAGTAGGGACTAACACAGCATTATGAATTACCATACGTGCCTTTTTTGACACATTCTGGTTCTTCATAATAGAGTGTAGTGCCCCATTCACTCTATTCCCTGCATTTACTCGTCGTTCTATATCCCTATCATATCTACCATCCCTGCTAAATACACATCCCAAATACACAAACTCATCCACTTGCTCAATTAACTCTCCTTCTATTCTTATTTCACATACCGTTTTGTTTTCTTCTCTTTCAAAAACCACCACTTTCGTCTTACTTGTGTTCACTTTCATTCCCCTTTCTTTTAATTCCCAGTTCATTAATGTAACCATCATTTGGAACTCAGCCGCCGATGACGCAAATATGACTTGATCATCGGCATACAGAAGGCATTTGACGGTTAACTCGCCCATTCTTAACCCACATTCTTCATCTTTAAAAGCTTGCAAACACCTGTCCATAAATAGATTGAACAGCCAAGGGGAAGCAACACAGCCCTGTCTGACATATTTTTGGATGCCAAACCAGTCCGAGTAGACCCCATTGATCCTGACACAAGCACTAGAGTTCCTATAAAGAGACCTTTATGCCTGTATCAAACCAGCACTCAGTCCATATGAGTTCAGTGTTTACTATAACACATTCCTGTCCACTCTGTCATAAGCCTTTTCCAAGTCCATGAACGCACAAAAATCTTTCTGTTTTTTGACCAAAAACTTCTCCGCAATCATGCGCATGGAAAAGACTTGATCTGTACACCCCATTCCCTTTCTAAAACCCGCTTACACATCCCAAATTTTTCCATCAGTTTCTTTCATAACTCTTTCAATTAACACCTTAGCGTACAGTTTACCCACAATACTAAGCAAGCTAATACCACGGTAGTTTTTGCAGTCCTGCTGTGACCCTTTTTCTTTATATATTGGTACTATAACTGCTTTACACCAGTCATCCGGTACACGTTTTAATTCCCAACATAAATTAAACAAGGTGTACAGCAGGCCTGAACCACTCCCTCTCCAGCCCTTAGCATCTCGAGTGATACTCTATCATATCCAGCTGCCTTACCTGCTTTCATGCTTTTCATTGCTTTCATTATTTCATCTACACTAATTTCCTTACCACTTCTTTCGGAATTTCTAGTTCATTTAATTCAGACGACTCTTTACTCATAAACACGCTTTCAAAGTATTCCTTCCATCTGTTTCCATTCATTCCATTCATCACATTCTCGTCTCTTATAGCATTAATTATAGGCTGTTTTGAATTTCCCCTGGCAGTTCCTACGAGTTTCCAGAACATTTTTATGTTAGCCTGGAAATTATCAGATATCCTTCTATCATTCTTATCCATTCTTTCTTTCTTTTTCCTTTCAACAACTTCTTTTACTCTCTTATTTAGACGTCTAAATTCTGCCTTTTTTCTTTCAATCTTATCATTCACACCAGAAGAATTATCAGCTTTGGTTGCTAGTAAATCTAACCATGCTTTCTTCTTTGATTCAACTTCCACCCGTACCTCATCATCCCACCACAACGTATTAGTTTTCCTTTCATTTGTTCTCTTACTTACACCACATACTTCGGTGGCGGCATCCACCAAACCTTTCTTAATATTATCTCACACAGCATTCAAGTCTAAATCATTCATACACAACTCATTCAAACATCTAATATTTTCTCTCAGTCTACATTTATACTTCTCTTTCACATCTTCATCTTGTAACTTCTCTATTCTTATACGCTATAACGCAGTGGTAGACACAGATGTCCGATGCCGCCAACGCTTGAAAAGACCATTAATTCGACATAAGACCAAGTAATGATCCGTCCCTACGTTGGCCCCCCGGTAAACCCTTGTATCTACGACTGCGCTCCTCATTCTTTCATCCACAATTACGAAATCTGTCATGCTTCTATCATCACCTCTTTCCCATGTATACATGTGAATCTTCTTATAATCTTCTTATATCTCAACAAACGTTCCCTATATCCTTTCATAACCAGACCTCTTCATCCCAACCCTTCCATTAAAGTCTCCTAACATAATAATATTTTCATTTTCCTTACATTTTGTCAACACCATCGTTACCATGTCCCAAAACTGCTCTCGGATGTAAATGGGCTTAGACATGTCTGGGGCGTATACCCCTAGCAGGAACAGCTTCTTTAAGCCCACTTTCATTCGTATCCATAGCAGCCTCGGGCTTACACATTCATACTCTTTCGCACATTGATCCATTCTTTCTGAAAGGATGAAACCACTCCTTGGCATGCCCGTTCGGTCTCGTCTACACCAGACCAATACGCGGTATACGTGCCATGTGCAGTGGCATTCTTTCATTTTCGTTTCGTCTCATTCACACATAACACATCTATTCCTTTGTCATTCATCATTTCGCATACTTCATCCATCTTATCATTCATTCCTCCACATTCATTCAGCGTATCCAGACGGGTTTCCGCAATCTACTTTTCGCCCCTCCGGGAGACAGAACGTGACGGGTGGCAAACCTCGTCGCCGGTTTTTCTCCCGAAGATTCTTCGCACCCCTGCCCCATTAAAGGGGCGCCAGGAACTCGGGGCCATTTCTTTTATTTCCTGACTCATGGTGCGGACAAGGGGTGGTGGTAGATTTTACGCCACTACCATACGGCTAGGAGCCGAGTCTATTTTTACGGCTTAGTCGCTCGTTTAGCACCACCCGGGGGATACTTGTAGGGTGGGCCTAAGGTTAAGGTAAGGTCACCATAAATATATTAAATTTCTCAATTCGGCACATTTCACTCCGTCGATAGCTACTAAGCTCATTTCAAACCCTCTAGCAACTCTAGCGCTGTTGTGGAGAGTTCTGAACTGTTATTTACTGCTTACAGGTGGACATTTTTTGAACTATTCTCTATGTGAGACGGTTCTCCTTACCTCTACACTCCATGCTGCCCCCGCTATGTATTCTGTCAGGTATATCAACATATTACTAAGTGGCGTGTCCCTGGTGGCAGAAAAGTCATGGATATCCTCATTTTCACTCGTGGAACAAAAACAAGGGATGAATAGTTACCCTTACGCTATCACAACATGGAGGACTCATTAACTATTTTACTATGTACCCTTTCATTTAAATTTACAGAACTTCTTTAAATTTCGACTCTCATATAAAATATATTATAAGCTTGTGATTAGTTCCTAATTAACATGATATAAGGTACGTGAGGGTAATATAGTCACTTTAAGCTTTGCCGCTCTATAAAACCAAAACTAGGAGAAGGATAGAGACAAAAACGCAATGTCGTATGCTATTTTTTTATAGGATAGGGTGACAAACGAGCACACAGTCCACCTGATGGTAAGTGGTTGCTGCGGCCCATAGACATTTACATCTATCCTCGATTACAAATCAAAATGCAGATGCGTTCTCACCCGTGAGGACTAAGATAGAATGCCTCGATTCCAGTAAAAAGGGTATCCGGTTCTCTACACTCACCATACGAAACACAGCAGCATTATGCTGCTATTTCAAGTAAGTATTCTGTAAGAGCGTGGTCCTTACCCGGTCGAGCCGACCCATTCGTGCTACAACTATACTACTAATATAACTGCAGCATGGCTCTACCACGTATAAAAACATATATATTATATATAACATATATATTAAGAAAAAAAATAGCAAACAAGCTTTGGCAATAATTAGGAATACTTTCAAAAATCTACTTATAAAAACTAACTACACTACACCATACTAAAAGTGACTAAAATATTTACTACAATATCATGTGTCAAAATGGCGTTGATAAATCATCGCCCTTTTACCCCTATATTATTTGATTTATATCACAAAGCTATCTATACAAACAGGGCTGTAATATTTGAGTTACAAGAAAGTGACTATATTAACCGGATGACCATATTACCCTCACGTTTTTATTTATTTAATCTTTATTAAACACCTTGTACATAAAAGATATTAAGGGCGGATTTAACGATTTAAGGCATTCTCTACCAGTCAACGCTGGATGATTAGAGAACCTATAGGCGGTGAAAAAAATCATTGCTACAGTTCATAAATTGAATAAATAATTGATAAAGATATAAGGTACAACAAAATGCAAATAAATAGAATAAATGGTAATAGTTAGTAAAAATATACATACTTAACATCTACTATTTATTAAAGAATAAATAGTAAATATATAAACGGGTACTAACATACAAAATCTTTAAATAAATAATATAATATAATTTTTACGTGGTAGAACCATGCTGCAGTTATATTAGTAGTATAGTTGTAGCACGAATGGGTCGGCTCGACCGGGGAAGGACCACGCTCTCACAGAATACCAGCGTGAAATAGTAGCTTGATGCTGCTGTATTTCGTATGGTGAGTGTAGAGAACCGGAGACCCTTTTTACTGGAAACGAGGCATTCCATCTTAGTCCTCACGGGTGACAACGCATCTGCATTTTGATTCGTAATCGAGGATAGATGTAGATGTCTATGGGCCACAGCAACCACTTACCATCAAGTGGACTGTGTGCTCGTTTGTAACCCTATCCTATAATAAAAAAATAAAAAATAAAATATAGTATAATACAAAAATGAAATAACACGATTCGTATTAAGATACACAAAATATCACATTTAAAGCGAAAGGGAGAGAAAAGCAAAAGTCGGATAAATCAGGTGGTTTTATTCTTATGAAAGAATTCTCGAAGTAGTTTCGTAAAATAACTTCTTACTATATTTTTGTTTTCTGCAAGTAAACTGGCAAAGTCAACAATTACAATAATTGTATTTCGTGGGTGATGGTGTATATACAGTATGTGAGTGTAATATGGTCACGTTAAGCTTTGCCGCCCTATAAAACTAAAACTAGCAAAAGGACATAGACAACACAAAGTCGTATACTATAACTTATATATTAAGAAAAAGATAGCAAATAAGTTGTGGCAATAATTAGGAACACTTCGAGGAATCAACATTAAAAAAAACTACACTACTCCCTACTAAGATCGACTAAAATATTTACTATAATATCAACTGTCAAAATGGCGTCGATAAAGCAGATCACTTTTGATTATTTGATCTTCTGATGAAGGGCTATCGTAGCATAGAGTCATCTATGCAAACATGGCTGTAGTTTTTGAGTTATAAGAAAGTGACCATATTAACCGGATGACCATATCACCCCCACGTATAATTAGTTAAACAGTCTTTGTTTAGATTAATCTGCTTTATTGTTGTTAGTTTAACTAAAGATAAATATATAAAACAAACTACTATATACTTTATTGATATGTGATAGAATTCTATTGTTACATACAGCTGGGTCTGACGTCGCGGCCAACGCCGCTGGGCGCACCACCACGCGACGTGGTGCGTCAAATCCTGGCGCGAGCCGCCGACACGCACACAGAGCGACCACACGAAGAAGAGCACAGTATGAGGGAGATTATTGCGATAGCACATAGAGGTTTGACTTAATACAACTTTAATTTTAAATAATTTTTAAATGAGGGCTCATGTTCTTCCGCTTAGCAGATGTCACTATTTGGGATTGAGGTGAAGTATTCGTTACTTATAGCGTTATAAATGAAAGTTTATCGGTTTTTAGGGGATGTAAACACACAAAACAATGCCTGATTCCGAATGGATTTGCACATTTTTAATCCTTATTTTATTTCTAGAAATATCCGTAGTTTAGTTTATTAATACCTAATCTAATTAATATAAAATATAACCAATTACAATTGAGAATTTGAGAAAGAATAAATTCGCCCTAACATTTTCTTAACAAATTGAATTCCCCGCCGTGATATTTGTCAAATATTTCACCTCATACCAAAGTAGCGCTGCCCTGGTGATTCAAATTCCACTATAAAATAATACTTTGTAGTCGACCTTCATTATAAAGAAAAAAAAAAGTTTGAAGGTCAGAATATATGGAAAACACGTGCAACATTCTTTTGCACGTGTTTCCCAAACTTTTATATAACTTTCAAACAAACTTGAAACTTAGTTGTTTTTTTAACGTGTATAAGAGCGAACCACACGGTGCGTTCTGTTGCGGTGCGGTGCCTAAGCAGTAGAGATTTTAAAACACACGAAAGTCCGTAGCATCAAGAATAGTTTATTGGCTTGTGTTACTATACTGCGCCGGTGCGGAAACGTACCATGTGAAATTAAGAAAAAAACCGTTAAGGTCATAAAGATATAAAACACAAAGGCCAAGGCCTAAAGTACTCACAGCATGCAAGTGCAACACGGTCTGTGTCTTGTATATTTATGGCATTAACAACGTTAAAACATATAACAAAATCCCTGTGGATCCCGTTAAAAGCTTTATAAGAATCAATATTCTAACGTGTATAAATTACTTTATTTCAGAAAACTCAACTATAAAAAATATTAAATTTAATTGAAATCAATTTTATTTCAAAATTTATTACCTCATTGGCCAGGGAGTAAAAGTATTGTCAAAGACCTCGTCTTGCAGATATCAGTTGAGCTAATAAAAGCGCAGAAAATTTGCAAATAAAATTTTATTTTATTTTGTTATGGTATAGTTTTCTGAAGTAAAGTTATTTCTATATTTTTGAATACTCATTCTGATAACGCACTTCACGGCAACTACCGGGTTTTTTTACATTTTGTATAATAGAATAACGATCAACCGAAACGTACTGATTTAAATAAAAAAAGTTATTGAGAAAATATGTTATTTGAAGCACACTATAAAAGTAAATTGGGAAATATTTCTGTCAGCAATATATTTTAATAAATTAAAGCTTTTGTAATTATGCATATCATTATGTGTATATTCACTTGTTAATATTCAGGACTCTTATATAATGGCTTTGATAAAACTATGTTTTGATAATGTTTAATATATAGAGAGTGGCCGAATATACTTTACGAAAAACATATGGGCAAGCATTCGGCTTTGTGTTCTTTTAACAAAAGAATTTCGATGTGGCTTCATCATGTTTTAAATAGATCAATGCCAAAATTAATAAAACGAATTACCAATACAAATGAAACATAATCTCGCGTAACTCTCTTCTCCACTCATATATATTTTATTTATTTATGATAGCACAAACGGATGCCTAGTATCTGCTTTTATTTTTTTTCCTCCATCGCATCGATACCATCCTATTGTGACCGTAACATTATTTGAATGGATATGTTTCAAATGTTGTCCAATCATCGTCTGGTCTGTCAGACGTCTGGCTTTATTGAGGGCAATATGGGATTGATCTTCGTTGGCATTACTTAAATAGATGGAAATATAATGGCAAACGTTCCTCCATTCCGTAATTTTTTCTAAAACAAAAATATAATAATAAGTTACCATTTATTCCATTACCATTACCATTACCATTGATCCAATATATACATCAAACAAGTTTATGTAATTTCAAACACCACGTTTTTAAAAACGGACGTAAAGCATTTTTTTTTCATATTCCGATTCAGAGCTGTTTAAAATTTCAACTCACTAACTTCAAATAAATTAATTCGACCCGAACAGACTTACACAAAAGCTAATTAATAAATTAAAAAAAAACGTGGTAAAATAGCAAATGTTTTAAAATAATTTCAATCACTGAAAGTTTTCATATCGTATAGAGATGAGGTAAATAAAAATTAGATCTGATTTCTTTTTATTTGCGCGAATACTACAAATTAAAAACAAAACTAAGTAACAAAATGGTATCGCCTTTAATTATACCTTTTTTGTTACTTCTTCTCGCAAAACGCAGTTTTTTTATTATTTTGGATGGCTGTCAGGAAAATGCTGTAACCCATCTCCTTTTTCACTTTCCCTCTCTCGCCTCTCTCGAGTCTTACAACACCCACCACGGAACCATATGGGTTATTGGATATTCTTACACTGCCACTACACGGTTGCCGCATCATTTAATTTTGACATGAAATGCGTTTTGAAGTTAGTAGGCGGTCGCTTTTAAAAATCAAAATTTATCGAAAACGATATATTATTTAGTTCATCGAATTTTATAATAATAGTTCATTGAAATCAAAATATTTAAAAGGACACACATTTTGATATCGTCAAAGATTACATAATCACTAAGTTTTAGCTGCCGTTGTTGAAAGTTACAGAATAGAATAGAATATTTCTTATTTTTATTAATTACAACAACATATGCGTATGGCGCTGTAAACACGTCTATATTATTATTCTAGTTATATTTGATCGCCTCGTTTTGGTACACCAGTGTCAGGAGTCGCTTTTAACTAACATCCACACACTTTCACGTAAAACACCAAGAGGAGTGGAGTACTCCACTGTAGCTTTATTTTGGTAGAACTTGCCTCTCCACTAGTATCTTTACAATTCTTTTGTTTTTATTTGTTTATTTTATCTATGCTCCTTGAATTACTGGCTGGTTTTTCATTGAGCATAATCACGAATATTTAATTTTTATTTTTACATTTATTTAAGAAATATTGTATACCACATACATATTTATTATTTCTATTTACGTTTTCCTTATTGCTCGTTGAATTACTGGCTGGTAATTCATCGAGCATTTACACAGTTTTGTTTTTAATATGACACTAAAAATATTAAAACTACAAAACTCGTAGTCGCCGCGTTCTAACAGTACTTTTGTCGTTAGAAATATATTATTTTCAGCTGTAAAAAGCATGATGAAAGCTAAAAGTTACTACAGTTAGTTTAAAGTTTCTCGGGTAATATTCAATCGTAAAATTGAACTTGTTTGGCCGCTCTCTAAAATCTCCATACTCATTAAAAAGTTATGTTTAGTACCAGTTCTAAAGTTTTATATCCAGTAATTTTTTTCTCTTATGGCGAAATGACTCATCTGGTTTTGTTCATAAAATGTAACTGCATATATTGCAATAACCAATATTTTTCAGATACTTTTATTTAAGATTTATTTTTTGAAGATCAAATGTACCTACTGTTCTAATGTATCAATTAAGTATGATTTCAGATATTGAATACCCAGCTTAGTCGTCAAATCAAAGGGGAATACAAAAGGCAAGTACTGTTTCTTATATTATTTTGTTTTAATTAAATACTAGTATCTTCAAAATAATTTGAGAAACTCATGTAATGGTGAGTGGAAACGAGTACATATTATACTAGTTTAAAGGTGTTAGCACACCAATCGTTCGATCATTCATCGATGCCATTGATCGACGTCGATCGATGTCGATCCAACTCTGGATATGACCTTTTTTATGCCAGAGATAGTTTAAATGCATATTGACGACATTTTAAATAGCAGTGCGTGGAGCGAGCGGTGCGTATTCTCGAATCTATATCTATAATTTGAAATCTCGAATTATACACAACAAATCCATATTAAAACTAAAACCTATATTATACACTAACAAATCGAACTCAAGGAATCTTATTTAATACGCCAGTAAATTCCGAGTCTATGAGTTCAACGTTTTGACTTTTCAAACATGTGTCAAAATAAAATGTAACATGAATCAAAAGCACTAAGGTGTGTTGATATTAACTTCGATGCAAATCACCCCTAAAATAAATATCTAAACCTTTTTAACACCGTTAGGCATTAAGTTTCAATAGAATACGAAACACATATTCCATCAAATCTGTTAAAGAATGTTTATACAAACTTTGAAATAGATTGGACCAAGGAATCACGTTGTCCCATACAAATTTTGCCCCTGTTTTTCACCCCCTTAGGGGTACAATTGCGGAAAATCCTTCCTTATCGGATGCCTACGTCATGCAAAGAATACACCCTCTAAGTTTCTGGTCTCTACGATCAGCAATTTAGGCTGTGCGTTGATTTTGTCAGTCAGTCATTCAGGACAAAGCATTTTATAAGTATGAATAATGAATAATATAATGATCATTTTTTATAGGATAGGGTGAAAAACAAGCACACAGTCCACCTGATGGTAAGTGGTTGCTGCGGCCCATACACAACTGCATGTATCCCCGATTACGAATCAAAATGCAGATGCGTTGTCACCCATGAGGACTAAGATGAAATGCCTCATTTCCAGTAAAAAGGGTCTCCGGTTCTCTACACTCACCATACGAAACACAGCAGCATTAAGCTACTATTTTACGCTGGTATTCTGTGAAAGCGTGGTCCTTCCCCGGTCGAACCGACCCATTCGTGCTACAACTATACTACTAATATAAACTGCAGCAAGGCTCTACCACGTATAAAGTATTGTGAAAAGAAAATAAATTTTAGTAATGTTAATGTATGAATTGGGAGCACTATGCTCGAAGTTGTTGACGAATACGTTTACCTGGGACAAATAGTCCGACTAGGTAAGTCCAACTTCGACCGAGAGGTCAATCGACGGATTCAACTCGGCTGGGCAGCGTTCGGGAAATTACGGCATATCTTTTCGTCAGGTATACCTCAATCTCTAAAAACTAGATTGTACAACCAGTGCGTGTTGCCAGTGATGACTTACGGATCTGAGACGTGGTCCTTCACTGCTGGCCGTATGAGGACGCTTAAGGTCGCTCAGCGAGCTATGGAGAGGGCTATGCTCGGAGTTTCTCTGCGTGATAGACTCAGAAATGAGGATATCCGCAGTAAAACCAGAGTGACCGACATAGCCCAACGGATTAGTAAGCTGAAGTGGCAATGGGCCGGCCATATAGCTCGAAGAACCGATAACCGATGGGGAAGAAAGGTTCTCGAGTGGCAGCCTCGTACCGGTAGGCGTAGTGTAGGGCGACCCCCCACTAGATGGAGTGACGACCTGGTAAGACATGCAGGAAGTCGATGGATGCAGGTGGCTCAGGACCGTGCTTTGTGGCATTACTTGGGGGAGGCCTATGTTCAGCAGTGGACTTGTGAAGGGCTGTAATGATGATGATGATGAATGTATGACTGAAAGCATATACTCACGAAGTACTTTAGTCAGTCGCTGCCTCTATAAATGCGGAAATTACGTAAACTAACCATAGATTTTACTGAACGTTTTCCGTCTGAAAAATATCTGAGTAGCTCTCAGGCACGTAATGCAGTTTTACTTCAAAACTTTAGCGACAAAATGTTTTTCGTTGGCTGGAGTAGTTTTAAGTATTACAAAATATATTTCGTAATATTGCCTGGAATCTAAGCAATCACATGTAAGCCATACAAACAATTTTTATGTGTAAACTCGCGGTCCGCAACGCCGTAGCCAATCCACGACATGGTGCCGCCCTGGTGGAAAAAAATGTCATGAAAAAGTCAAATCTTTCTTAAATTACTTTCACTTTCTCTTACAACTTACTTTTATTAATGGAAAATATTACCTATAACTTGGTTTCGTTATAATAATGGCAACTAAAATTCCAATTAACAACATCATTCATCATGGTTGTTGACCAAGTTTAAATATTTAACTAAACAAAAACTATATAAAATGGGTTATTATAATATAAATGAATACATGGTTGATAATGGAAATGAGGTAGTCCCATCCAAGCTGTTCCTAAAATAAAGTTTGTAAATATTTTGTGATCATTGACACTGTAAAATTATTTTTATAAAAAAAGTCCCGCTGGGTTTCTTGCTGGCTCTTCCCAGGATAGAGGATTTTTTTTCCAACAGTGGTAAAGTATAAAATGACTTTCAATAAGAATTACAACATGTAATCTATATTGAATGAAAACTATTCTATTCTATTCTATGATGCAGATCGAACTGGGTCCACTCGCGTATCGCAGATTTTTTTTTACTATTATAATCGAGTGCTTAACTACTTCACTTGATTTTAAGTGGTGTTGCAGGCGAAGATGGTAATACGCTTAGCTTAGCTTGACAAAGTCATATTCACTCGTATCATGAAGACACCTACGTTATGATCGAGTTATAAAACAGATTCGAACGTGGTAGAGCCACGCTACAGCTATCTCATTATTGCGAGACTAGACTCGTTAATGCTAGAGTTGGCTCGCCTGGGGTGGAACCACGCTCTCACAGAATACCAGCGTAAAATAGCAGCTTAATGATGCTGTGTTTTATATGGTGAGTGTAGAGAACCGGAGAATCTTTTTACTGGAAATGGGGCATTTCATCTTAGTCCTCGGGTGTAGCAACGCATCTGCACATGATTAAAACTACTTTTACGGATTTTATCGCGTTTATTTTTTACTTTTTTATTTTTAATTCCCGACGTTTCGGGCGCTTTCCAGCACCCATGGTCACGGGGGACTGAGATAAATATTTTTTTCTTATTCCTCAGACATGGAGGTTTCCTCACGATGTTTTCCTTCACCGCCGAACATGTGATAAATCAGTATTTAAAATTGCAATTAACAATTTCATTGGTGCCGGCGGGGATCGAACCCGGGTTACTCGCGTTGTCGGCTCTCGTGCCATGGCTATCACAGAATACCAGCCTAAAACAGCAGCTTAATACTGCTGTGTTTTGTGTGGTATGTGTAGAGATCCGGAGACCCTTTTTTACTGAAAACGAGATTCTTAATCTAGGGTAAATGTAGATTTCTATGTGCCACAGCATCCACTTAACATCAGGTGGACTGTGTGCTCGTTTGTCACCTTTACTCTATAAAAAAAACTACCATAACTACTGGACCAAAGAAGCAGTCATAAATTAAATAATACAGATAATAGAATATCTTAAAAAAAAACAGTTATAAATTATAATGGAGTATCGATAAATTCAGACTTCGATCTCATTTATTCAGCAGATTTTATTATCAATATTATATTTACTGCCTGCATTATAAAATTCTTCTCTTCTATTTTAATCTAATTAGCTTCTATCTACAGTTCACCATATTTCTGTTCCATAACATCATGTCCCACTAATATGATCCATAAATTAGTAATTCAGTACACGATTTATTCTTTAACGAATAGTATATCACAAAATAATGCTTCGCATTTATCAGAGAATAAGATCGAACATCGTAAAACAAACCGTCTTTTCTATTTCATAAAACACAAATCGGATTGACTCGTAAACTAGCGATCATGTCATGTTCATCCGCCATCGACATATATATATATAGGGTCGTAAAAGTTACCCGCTATAGAGGAATAATGCGAGCATTACGGTACTAAAATGAACCTTACCATGCTAGTTTAAAGCATAATTTGGAATATCGACTAGATGCCCATTTTTGCTGACTTTTAAATTTTTCAGAAGTTTAATATTTTTGCATATTATTTTTAATAAGACTTGACCAGCTATAAAGCTTGCAGAACCGATGACCAAGGGGAAAGAAAGGTTCTAAAGTGGCAGCTTCGTGTCGGCAAGAGGAGATGAGCCCCCCCCCCCCTAGTCGAAGTGGTAAAACATGCAGCAATTCAATGAAAGCAGCTAGCTGGCTCGGGACCGTGCATTGTGGCATTACTTGAGGGAATCCTTTGATAGCACTTGTGAGGGGCTGTAATAATGATGATGATGTTACATTGAACCATTACGTCATATGACATGTTTTTTTTTTGTATAGAAGAGGAGGCAAACGAGCATGCAGATCACTTGATGTTAAGGTTATAGTCAAAAGTGGTTTTATAAAAATACATTAGGGGCTATTGTGAGAATAGTCTTGTACCCTCTAACAGATGACGTAATAAGCAATGCAATTACAAACAGTGCGTCGCTAGTTTCGGTATATAGAATGAATGAAGAAAGAGTGCCAAAGCAAATTTATGCTGCAAAAAAGAGTGACAGAGTCTGCAAGAGACGCCCTTGGAGGCAAAGTAAAGCCTATATACGTCCCACAGCTGGGTACAGGTCTACTCTTATTTCTAAGAGGGTTTTAGCGTAAGGAAATATCCGCTACGCTGCCCCAATGCGTGTTGGCGAACTTCACAAGTCTTCGAAACTTTTTTTTTCATACTTTTCAGACATGCAGGTTTCCTTACGATATTTTCCTTCACCGCCGTAAACGTGGTAAATCGACAAAATGGCAATATATTGAAGATCAGCCAAATTGAACGTGAAACGGTGATAAGTTAGTTTAAGTATATTGTTTATTTACACCTT